ACGTCGGGTCCCTGACAGGATTCGAACCCACGACCTTACGGTTGCGAGTCCGAGAGCCTAACCACTAGGCCACCGACGCGATATAATTCTATGAAGTGGCTAACCCGACACAAGGAAACGTGGAAAGCCTTTACTTGTGACCCACACTTTACCCTCATCCAGGTTGTAAAAGGCATTGATGATGGTGATGATATCATTACATGTGCGTGAAGAAAAACACGAATTACAATTCATTGTCACTTTTGTTTACACATTTCTTCTTTTGATGAGTACTATATACTATAGTCATACCATTCCTTGCCAATCTGTACGTTGTTCTACTTTCAGGCCTGCTGATTTGGGACCTATGTATTACTTTCTTCTTTAATTATGACATTTTTACACCCTCAATTCTTGCAGCTTAATATCATTTAGAAAGCTATACGAGAGATGGAGAAATCCAAATGAAAATTCGTCTTTAACTTTTTCATGTTTGCAGTATAGTTATAATGAGCAAGCAAACTGGTCTATCAACGGTGTCCCGTGTTCAAGGCAGGGAGTTCTAATCTTGTAAATGGTCCAGGACGTGGACGCCCCTAGTTTTCTGTAACAAGAACGTTACAGGTGATGATGGTTTGATTTGTGAGGACAGGCAGCTGGCAATTCATGATTTGACTGACAATGTTGACTTCCCGATAACTGTTGATAATGAAAATGTGTGTGAAGAGCTCGGATATCGTTCAGATTCGGCTCGCTGAGTGCTGAACCAACTGACAGAAGATCACAAAGTTTATACATGGTGGCTTGTCAGACAATTTTGAAACAGCATGGTAAAATGGGGGAATTCCACACCCACACTCCTTAGATCTAGCTCTTCGCAGGAAGAAAGCAAGAAAAACGAATTGGGAACTCTTCCAGTTTTTCAACTGCCTTTGACTTTTACTTCCGATTTGAACACAAGAGGCAGCCATCTGTACTTCTGTTGTACTCTGACTCTGAAAGAAAAAGTATACAAGTCTGTCGAAAGTAAGTGCAACATTCACAGTTTTCAAAGATTGCAAAATGCTACTACATGTTTTTTATCTTTGAAGCCCAAGCTAGAAATGCTTATTCATTCATTAGATAAGTAACATTTGCCCCCAAACGTGCTCTATGTGCCGACAGTAAGATGATGTGCCTATTGCAGATATAGAAAGGTCAGGTAAATTTCACACCCCTTGGGAGTGATATATCACCTGTCTTTTAGGGGAGGAAGGTTTTTTTTGAATCAAAATCGTATGCCAATGGGTGTTTTGGGGTTTTATTTACTATGGGAGCCTCTAGCTATCATGTCGTGTAAATAGTTTTACCCTTTGTAATGAATGTTGTTTTGAAATGTAAAAATGGGAATGAACTATGTTGTGAATGTTGCAATAACGATTCTTTGATATCACGACTATTTCCCCTCCTTGACGCGTCTCATTTTGAATTCGAGATCGCATTGTAGTACATGTAAAAGAAAAACAATAAACCAGTTTTCCGGCAGGCAGACGACGCAATAGGTTGTTATTTGGTCTTCTCTACAAGTTTCATTCCTTTTTATAATGTGATGTAATATGCAGCCGTCACACCTTTATCCTTGTTTTGTTTTTTGTTTTGTTTTTTGCATTGGGACAATTCCATACCTAGCGGGTGTGGAAATGCCCCAACATTTTACTATTGTTTTTCTTAGAAAAACACATCACCCAAGAAGTGTGTAGCCTACAAGAAGTGTGTAGCCTATTAAAACTGTTTGAACAATAAGCCTGCTTGTGGGCCTACATGGTGTTACTTGTACTTATGCAGGATCTATGCTGGATCTCTTCATATTTTTCTCCCTTTTCTAGAGAGACTGACGAATAATGGGAAGGAATTACAGTTATAAGAGGAAGACAGTGGCGTATAACCGGTATAACCATGCAGAGATATGAAGAAAGTAGTTAATCTGGTTACATCTCAGTCCCATCATCTGATGTCGCCTCAACAACTTCTAGCTGACTACTACCCTGAATAGTCAGCAAACCTCTCCCAATGCTCCATCGAATTCTACTGCCGTCTCCCCTCCAGTGCTCCATCAAGTGTATCACCTTCACCGCGGTCTGCACTCCAGAACTCCGTTAAGAACTTTTTTCTTACCAAACTGACTCCGATGATCAAGAAACCAGCATCAGGCACTGGGGGGTCAACAAACAGAGGGTAGTCAAGATGCAGTTTGGTGAAAGCCTCACATCAGAGGAATGATCGCTAGACTGCTGGCGGATGACGAGGAGAGAGCCGCAAAGAAAGCAAAGGGGAAGAGCAGAGGAAACGGGAAGGGCAAGGGAAAATGCACCGGAAAGAAGACAGCAGCTGCTGTTCCTCCTCCTCCAAGTGACAGTGACAATACTCTTGAAGATAAACAGCCACCTCTACAACACAGATCAAACAGTGACACAAACAGAGACACCGACAGTGACAATACTCTTGAAGATGAACAGCCACCTCTACAACACAGATCAAACAGTGACACAAACAGAGACACCGACAGTGACAATACTCTTGAAGATGAACAGCCACCTCTACAACACAGATCAAACAGTGACACAAACAGAGACACCGACAGTGACAATACTCTTGAAGATGAACAGCCACCTCTACAACACAGATCAAACAGTGACACAAACAGAGACACCGACAGTGACAATACTCTTGAAGATGAACAGCCACCTCTACAACACAGATCAAACAGTGACACAAACAGAGACACCGACAGTGACAATACTCTTGAAGATGAACAGCCACCTCTACAACACAGATCAAACAGTGACACAAACAGAGACACCGACAGTGACAATACTCTTGAAGATGAACAGCCACCTCTACAACACAGATCAAACAGTGACACAAACAGAGACACCGACAGTGACAATACTCTTGAAGATAAACAGCCACCTCTACAACACAGATCAAACAGTGACACAAACAGAGACACCGACAGTGACAATACTCTTGAAGATGAACAGCCACCTCTACAACACAGATCAAACAGTGACACAAACAGAGACACCGACAGTGACAATGACCCTGACTATGCCCCTCGTTCGACATCAAAAGTGAACAGGAATTTGTTTGAAATTGATTTGTACTTTATTTTCTTCCTGACTGATCCCCCATACACGTATAGGCCTAGGCCTACTGTTCTCATTCATAATAATCTTCTAATATTGTTGTGCTCATTTTAGATGCAATTTCTAGTACCTGTTTGTTTCATTCTGGTTTTTACATTCTGTCATGATGGGTGTGGAATTACCCTGAGGTGGTGGAAATGTTAATAAAGAGGAAAAATTGGAATTTATGAAGTATTGTTACTTTTTTCTGTTATTTATACAGAATTCAAGTTTGAATGCTTCTGGGGTATCTGTCCTCTGTTTGTGTGATCACCTCATCAATAGAAGCTTTCTGTCAACCAACTGAAAAAGTTGGGTGTGGAATTCCCTCATCTTACATAATATGTCGGCCTCTTTTACCGTCTGTTTCTAAAATGAGATGAAGATGTACGAGACTTTTGTGTCGACTCAAGTGTCCTACGTACTGCATTAGTCCGTTCCTATTTTTTGCTTGTTTGTTTTTGGTTGATTTTGTAGTTTCTTCTTTCTTTTTGTTGCTATTGTTGATGATGTTTTCGTTGTTGCTCTTATCAGGTTTTCTTCAGCACTACCCAATACGATTTCCTTACCTTCCATAAAATTATCCACAGACTCATTAGAAATACTTTTCTGCTTCTTATTTTTTGTTTGTTTATTGTTGTTGGTGTCATTGTTTTTGTTTTTGTTTTTTCTGGTCTGGTTTTTTTTTCGGGTTGTTGTTTTTTTATGGGGGGGGGGTTGCTTGTTTTTGCTTTTTTTTTAGGGAGGGGAAGGTTGGTTTCTTTTTCTACCTGGTGTTATTGTCCAGAACTCACAGCTGCATAGCAAGTTTGACAACACATGGCCTTTTAAAACTCTCCTTTCGGTTGCTGTTGTGATGTTTCGGTTTATCAGGATCGTATTTACTAAATAGAAAGCGTCTACATGTATAACTATTGCAAGTTTTCTTCTTTTTTTATTTCTGTGGTATGAGTTCCACCATTAGCTCAGACATTACATTACATTCGGAGGACCCGCCTCGTTAATAAGTTTACAGTTTTGAAGGAGGAATTAAACCTAGACAATGACTGACTCTGGCACATTCAAACGCATGCAGAAGACAAACAGACAAATAAAGCAGTTGAATAGTCAAGAATTAAGACCTGCTACTGACGTCATCTAACTGCCTGTTGGACTTTCGCGAACTCCCAACGTCTTAATAATGATAACTCAAAACGACCAGACATGCCAGGTACAACTTTGTAAATCAAAGGTAGAGCTCCCTCTCTCTCTCTCTCTCTCTCTCTCTCTCTCTCTCTCTCTCTCTCTCTCTCTCTCTCTCTCTCTCTCTCTCTCTCTCTCTCTCTCTCTCTCATACTTATTCGGGAAAGTTCATCACTTTGATCGCCTAAAACTTCCGAACCAGTTATTCGGGAAAATTCATCACTTTGATCGCCTAAAACTTCCGAACCAGTTATTCGAATTAGAAAATAAGGAGTCTGAAGTCACTGTTGTTTAATTTTCAGTTTTTCATTACTTTCGTTTAGATCTGAAGTCACTGTTGTTTAATTTTCAGTTTTTCATTACTTTCGTTTAGATCTAATCTTGGGAAAGTCTGTCTTCTAAGACGCCATTGTAAACAAGTGAGGCTTCCGTTCACAAGCAGTGCGCACTGGTCTACAATGACTTGACGATCGATTTTTTTGACTACGTTCATCGAAAGGGTACCCAGCTTGTATAGCAAAAGAAACACGAATTACTAAAGCATAGAATAAAACACACTACACTCAACACGGGTTTGTCATGTGTAAATGAAACTTTATTTCGTCAAATTACACAGCCATGAGAGTGTCAATAGACGGGTGTTCATTTTATTTCCGTGACTTTGACCTTGGGACAGGAATTCAGTACTGTGTGTAACGTTCGTTTACCACAACAACCGCTGTGTATTTACGGCCCATAGAATTCACGAGAGTGTTTATTTGTCGACATGGGATCTGCAATCTCATATCTGGCTGATGGCTGAAGCCAATTGAGGAGCTGACCGTGGTAGTGGTTGCAACTGGTTGAACTTCTTCTATATAATTACCCAAACGTGCTCGAATGGGGTTTAAGTCAGGTGACGAGCCGAGCCAGATGAGGCAAAAGATTTATGTTGATCTTCCACATGAGCTGCTGTGGTACACAAGCAGTATGAGGTCTCGAATTGTTTTGCTGAAAAAAAGAAGTTTGGGTGCCTCTAGAAAAAGGGCACCAAATGAGGCTGAAGGACTTAGTTAATGTAGCGCTGAGCCGTAACCCTATTTCCTTTTCCACGGCCCACCTCCTGGAAGCACACGAATGCAGTTCTTTGATTTAGAGCGACGACTCCCCAAATTTTAACGCTTGACCCTCCCCAATGGCCTCTCTTCACGGTGTTGACATCAGCGTAGTACGTCAAGTCTGTGCTCTACACACTAACGTGTCCATTTGACGGATCAACGCAGAATCGTCTCTTGTCGGTGAACAGCACCCTTCACCCATTACCTGTTTCTCTAGTTCATGTGAGCCTGTGCCCACGTAAGCCGGTCACGGCGGTGCTGAGGGGTCACAGCTAGCCTGCGACAAGGCCGTGGAGTGCAATTTTCGCCGTACAGTTCTATTCCTGGTGGTCTCAGCGGCTGTCAGGAACGGATTCATCCCGTATTGGCGCACTGAAATGCGATCCTTTGGTGTAGTTGTCGCCCTTAGTCTTCCGGCTCAGGAAAGATCACAAGTCGCATTGGTAGCGCGAAACTAGTTCTGTAGTCTGTAGATTTGTAGCGACATACACGCCTGTAACAGTTCCCACATGTAAAGCAGTCTCGCTAGCCTATAGTCGTCGAAAAGGTCCCACATGGTTTTCAAAAGAAAGCCTGAGCCTCTCGATACTGCTTTAGTTTTTAACTGAATTCATTATTTCGAGGCTTCAAATGTGTATGGCAGGCTTTCGTGACCTCACGATGACAAACTCAACACTCGAATGATGTGCCAATTGAGTACCCATTAGCTATGATAATTGTTTAGTTGTTTGTTGCGTAAGCGACCAATCAGGGCATTTTATTGTTTCAATGAGGTCAGTCAAGCAGGTTTTAACCATGCTTCAATGGAAAATGGAAACGGAACTCACCAGTGGAAACGTTGGCTAGTGCTTTACTTTAACGACGATGACAATTTCGCGTTTCTTGAATCTCTGATATTCTTCATAGGGGCCTTCTACTGTACTCAAAGAAAACGGAATGCACAGCGATAGGAAACAGTGCTTACATCCCAGTATGCAACATCACATGTAAGAATGAAAGAATACAACAGGTCAACAGCTTTACGCAAAAAGTCATACAGAGATTTTTTTTAAACTTTCAGTCAGATGAAACCTATCCTCTCAAAATTAAAAACATGGCAGTGAACACAAACATAAGATCCCTGAAAGCGTACGTATGGTCAATCCTTTTGAAAGATGCTGGGGGTGAATTCTAAACAAAGTCTCAAGGAGAAGACTGGGGGCGCTGAAATGTGGTATTTAAGAAATATACTCAGAGCCTCATGGACAGAGAGGGAAACAAATGGCAGGATGTCAAAGACCCAAAACAACAACCATCAGAAAAAGACAATTTGTGATTCGTTGGCCACGTAAATAAATCAAAGGGACCAAAGAAACTGCTGCTGTCTGGAAAGATAGAGGCAAAAGAGCAGAGGAAGACAAATAACAACATATACACAGATGGCCTGAACAACTTTACAGCGAATAACGCAAAGACAAAGTAAAAATCGAGCTGATCAAGAAGACTGACAACAGAAAAGAATGGGGTACCATGATCGTCATTGTCTGCTGAAGACCTGACACTTGAAGAAGATTTTTTTTTAATAAAGGGAAAAAATATACAATAATAATAATACATATATGTATGTATGTATGTATGTATGTATGTATGTATGTATGTATGTATGTATGTATGCATGTATGTATGTATGTACATTTATGAATGTGTATGTGTGTTTGTGTGTATGTATATATGTATGTATGTATGTATGTATGTTTGTATGTATGTACATTTATGAATGTGTGTGTGTGTGTTTGTGTGTAGGTAGGTGGACAGGTAGGTAGGTAGGTAGGTAGGTAGGTAGGTAGATAGGTAGGTAGGTAGGTAGGTAGGTAGGTAGGTACTAGGTAGGTAGGTAGGTAGGTAGGTAGGTAGGTAGGTAGGTAGGAAGGTATGTAGGAAGGTAGGTACTTCTTGCTGTTCATTGTAAGTAAAAGGCTCGCACGTTTAACAGCAAACTGGAATTCTGAAAGAGTGCATGACTTGTTTCTGACATAAATAGGGAATGCTAGTTATGTAAATGTGTAAATAAGAAATAGTCTTGTGACTGTCTGCTCCACTTGTTGTTTTTTTCTCGCATTTTTGTTTTACTATCTCCAAGATTTAATTATTAAAAATGGCCCCTAACTGAGAAAAATAACGTTTTCTATCATCAAAAGGGAGACTGACTTGAGCAAAGAAATAGTACAAACGGAAAAACAGGGGTGAGGGGTACAGAAGTTATTGCATATAATCATAAAATAAGGCAACTTAACTTATGTGTTAAAAGCCTCAGGTATGCCACTTTGAACTTTGACAGTGAAAAAGTTGCATTGGCCCTCTATCATTTGGAGGTCAGATCTCTTCTTTAGGGTAGCACGTTTTTACCAAAGATTGCTTTATGCAGTTGCAAGTGATTTAAAACTCCTATAAGCCAAAAACAGATGTTTAGTATTTGGTACAGACTGTCCCGGAGTAGGTATTTCCCCCTAAGGTTTATCTAGCCTTGGCGAAACTTGTTTCCAGCTGTTCACAGATGTCTTTATTCCCGTCAAAGTGATCATTTTATTTTAAATCTTGCGTTCTCTTCCTTTTGAAGATTTTTATAAACATCTCTCTGTACTTGGAGCTCGAGTTCAGATACACAAAAATGTTAACACTAGAGTTAATCGTTTCCATTGTGAACACAAATGAGGCTGCGGTAATACGGAAGTTTTCATATTTCCCTCCGGGATTAAATTCTGGCTCCAGAAACAAAGCAAGAAATGTAGCCGACGCTGGGATAAAACAAATAATAAAGATGGTAGAGATGAGGATGACTGTTTTCACAACCTTTTTTTCTTTGGCCCCAAATTCCTCCTTTCCACCAACTCCTTTGCTGGCCGTGGCTTGACGCCATTTTGTCTTACTTTTCAATTCAGTGACGAGAATAGTGGTGCAACAGATGACAGTGATGAAGATAAGCATGTTAAATACTACGCCCTGCATCATAAACACAATGGAATCCACAATTTTCCTTTCTTCAGCAGATGTTACTGAGAGTATGGAAGTGTTTTTGACTGGATCCAGTACCCAAGACAGTCTTTGTGAGTAGTATATAGGGGAAAAGACACAAATCATGAGGATAAAGATAGAGACAATGGTTATCTTTGTTCTCCGGGGAGTCAGAATCCTCTTGATCTTCAGAGGCAAGGCAATACACAGGCATCTTTCGAACGTGATGAAAGCGGTAATGCAGCCAGTAATTCTGTGGAAAGACAGAAAAGGCCAAACGTGTTTTTTTTCCTAGGTTTTTTTTTAGGAAGTGTTTATTTTTTACGGCGC